CTGGCGGGGCAGGCTCGCCGGAGCCTGGAGAGGGGCAGCGTCGCGCGTCGCGACCCCTACCAAGACTGGATGTTTATCCGTTTTCTGAGGGTGAGGGCGAGGGGGGCCCGCGGGCTGGGGGGGGGAATTTGGGGCTCGCGATGGGGCGACCGCCCCCGCGGTCAAGTCGGGCACGTCCCTCTGCAGGGGGAATGTTCTAAACTTGCCCAACAAGATTCGGGAAGCGTTTTTTTTATATATATATATATATATATATATATATATATATATATTATATAAAAATTGTGTTGTTAATGTTTGAGCATTCTTTCCGTAGTTCTTATTTTCCCTCACAGATCCGCCCGCAGGGGACCGCGCCCGACTTGGCCCTATGGGCGGCTCCGCTGGGCGGAGTTCTGGAGAACAGCCGCGCATTCCCAACCCCTCTAGCCACAAGGCCCCCATCGGCTCCCGCCTCGGACGCCAGAAACGGCGGTGGGCCCAGGAATCCTGAGGATATGGACACAGGCCCCCAAGGAGGGACTTGGCCTCAGTTTGTAGTTCACCGCGTTCCCACGCCATAAAGTCTCCTGCTGCTCCCCTCCTGGACCTCAGGCGCGCCCAGCGGAGTCGCGCCCTCGCAGTCTTGGAATGAGCACTGAAGCGCAGGGGTCGTCAGAGTGTCACGAGCAGAGTGGCGCAGGCCAGACCGCTTGTTCCAGGCAGATCGCGCATTATCCTAATGATGCGCATGCGCTGGTTGCGGGCCAATTGGATGGGCAGGCGTGGCTGGGCCATCTTGCCTGGCTTCCCGACGTCGCACCTGCACGGCTCAAGATGACGGAGGTCGCGAGCCTGGCTGCCAGGGGAGCTGAAGGTCGAGCATTGCGGTCTTCTTTGCAAGGACTTCGCGCATGCATGGCCACGGAGTCGGCGTTGCCCGCTCTTCGCCGTGCCCTCGAATCCAGCCCGCAGCTGGCGAAGGAACTGGCGCTCACAGGTCAAGCGCCGCGTCGCCCGACCGCCGTCATCGACCGCGGCGCGGTGCGCTGGCATTAGCTGCGGGGCGCCAGTTCATCTTTCGACGCAGCTGGATCGCTGCGAGCGCTCGACGAGGTGCGCGAAGGGGCGATCTTCAGCCTTCACCCCCCCTCTCGGGCCAGATGGCAAACGGAGCTGCGCGCCCCCATGCGGCCCAGGGCTGGTCGAGGAGTGGATCGCCTTTCAGCCGTGGGGGCTGAAAGACTGCCATCGGAAGCTCTCGGCCAATTGACGTCGGCCATTATTCCGCCCGCGTCCTTTCTCACTTGGCTGCGGCGTCATGTGAGGATCGAAGGTCGCCTGGTGGCCAAGAAATCATGGGGCGTTCGCGTGATCTGTTTAAGCGGTATTATTACGCGTCTTTAGTCGCAAGTAAGAGAGCCCTGGATCAAGACGTGGTCAGTTGAATCTCGCGCCGCGCGTTTCTGGGCGCCGCCGCGGCTGGAACTCTTCTCCCCTGGGGGGGGGCTCTGTCGGTCCTCGCGCGATGGCGCCCGCGGATTTCTCATCGTCGACGTCGGAAACGGCTTGCGCGACTTAGTTGCTGCAACGGCGCATGCTGGGCGGGGCGGGCCGCGAGGGCGTCGCCCCTGCCCCCCCCCCCCGCCGGCGGCGCTTTCCTTCGGGGCGCGGGCGCGTCTCCCCCCGCGCACCCGCGCGCCGAGGAATCCCAGACACCCGACGTTTCAATTTTTTCGAGACACGGGCCCCCGACCTCCCGACCACTCCCCTGGGGCCAACTTTTCATCCCGGGTCGTTTTCTGACGGCCCCGAGGCCCGGCGAGGGCCCCAGGGGCTTGAAAACTAAGAGAAACCTTGGTCTCGATTTTTTCGAGGCGCCCGATGTCTGGGATTTGCTTCTCAGAGGCGTTCCAGTCCACGAGGGGGGCGCCGTCCAGGGGCTCCGCGGCGGGGCGGGGCTCGCGCGCTATACTGGCCCGTTCTGCGCCCCGCCAGACGACGCAGGCGCGCCTTCGGTTAGACGCGCGACTCAGTTCACTGCGGGGTCGAGGCCTTCGCCGACAAGCAGGCGTGGCGCTTCCTGCCCGCGATCGACCGGCGGCGCGCGCGCGCGCGCGCCGCACCGCGACCGCCAGCATCGGCCGCGCGGCGCAGGCTCGGCCTCGGTGCCCACCGCTGTTGTTAGACGCGCGCGCGACTCCGGATGGGCGGCCTGTCGCAGCTCGCGGCAGGGTCGAGGCGTTATGGTCAGAAGCCACTCATGCAAATTCTGGGCGACGCCGGCCAGCTAGCTCCTCGGCCGCGAGGGGCTCGAGGTGGCCTCCAAAGGTGCAGCCCCTTGTTCCAAGTTGCAGGACGCAGAGGTCATCGTCGGCAGACTCAGGCCCCGCGGCATTTTGGCGCCCCCCGCGCCGCGAGCCCCCGACCTCGGCGCCGATGCGGCAGGGGGGGCGCGCCTGGGCCGCGGCCAGAGAGCGCGTGGCCAAAGCGGGGCCCCCAGCTCCAAGATGGCCAGGTTGGCCAGGGCCTCCCGCAGACGTCGCCCCGCCACCAGACATGAGCAAGCTGGCCCCCAACTCGCAGGGCACTAAGGGAACTGGATCCACGAGGTCTTCGGGGCCAACGTGCTCAGCGCCAGGAGGAGGTTAGGGCGCGTTTCCTACCCGGCGCGAAGAGGCATATGCCTCGCGACGTTTTTGCATCTCCGATTTCCGAGCCAGGATCCAGACAACAAGTCGCCCATGGATTGTTCGAGACTCTGGCTTGCTACGCGGCAGTCAGAACCTCGCCACCGCGCCAGCATCGGTCGTGCCTGGCCCATTGTGGTTTCGAAGCTCTCTTCGCTCCCTCCCCCGAGCTCGATCCAGGCACGTCTGCGGCCCATTGTCGGCAGTAGTGGCGTGCGTGGATTGGGGCACAGTCGGCCCCGTCAAAAGGGGCGCTGGGCATGTGGGTTGTCCTGGTCGCGGAGCTTTCATGTTTGACCAGTCAGGCTGGTGCGGCGACGCATCGTTCCTTCGAGTCGAGCTCGAGCACGCGGCGCGGACTCGGCAGTGGAGGACAGTGCTAGTCATTCATGTGGTGCGCCTCCAAGCAGGGGCCGACCACTTTTCGTTCGGGCATTTCCCCGGGGCCCCCGAAGCGGCCCCGAAGGGCAACCAGTTTGCAGAGTAAGTGGTGCGCATCGCCCTGAGGGGGGGGGGGGGGGGCGTGGCCTCGCAAGAGGAATCCGGATGAGGTCGGGGGCGCGGGCGCAGTCGATTGTGATTGGTGTAAGAGGCTTCAGAGTCGGCCTTTCGTCGCGCCTCGACCTATCGGCGCAGCGCTGGCCCCCCCGCGCGGTCCAACTCGGACCCCCTCCTCCCCCGAGCGATGGCCCAGCACCAGCCGGAGGCGTTGTTCTTGGTCGCCCGGCAAGATGGCCCCGGGTCCCAGACCCACCTTGCGAGCCCAGGTGGGAGGCAAGCGGGGCCAATGACTTGGGCCCGCCTTCCCTGGGGGTCGGGTCTTTCAGCTACCCGCCGTTTCTCTTTGGCGGTGCCAGCGGGGGCAAGGTCTCCCGCGACAGTCGCTTCTGGCGGGCCGGCGTCGGGGCGGCCGCCGCGGTTTCGTTTTCCCCTTTACAGGTTTCCGCCGCCGTCCGCGGCCCCCTGGTCGGGCCCGAGCAAACGGTTCCCAGGGGTGAGCCCACTGCGTGAATCATCGTGCTGCGACGCAATCGTGGCTTCACCGTTTCGCCGCCGGCGACGAGTCTGCCAGTGCAGGATGGTGCCAGCGGAGGTGTCTCCAACGTCGTGGACAGAATCGGGATCTGTGGGGCGAGCTTAGGCCTGCCGTGGTGACTTGAGACCCGTCGGACATCCTTGTTCTTCAGGTTCCGTTTCGCCGCTCCGCCGCCCATGCTGCCCAAGGCCCGCGTTTGCTTTCGATGGTCCATGGGGGCAGTGCTGACGGCAGAGGAAGTTTGTCTCGCCTTAGAATGAAGGTAATATGGAGAGGTACTGGTATGTTAGATAGTTCCAAAATAACCGTAACATAGATTACAGAAATATGCGAACATCAGCATATATTCGACAGATGTAATTTCCATGGCGTTATGTTATAATGTGTAATCGTTTAAGCGCAAGCGGTGTTTGCGGCGCGCAACGATTGTCTTGCCGGGAAAGCCGATTCTCATGTCAGCCCAGGGCGAACCAGCGCCGTCAGAACCAGAGCCGCTTCAGCCGAACACAAGGCTAGTTTCGCCAGGAAACGGTTTTCGTGCGCTGGTCTCGATATGGTGGACGCTGAGAACAGGAAGCCAGTGCAAGAACGAGGGCGCCATCCTCCGCCCTCTCACGCTGCCGTGGCCCTGGTTCAGTCAAATCAGAAGCTCTCGGGCGACGGGCGTTCTTGCGGGCGTGACAAAGACAACTGTCGCGAAGTACGCCTTTACCAAGTGCAAGGCCAGCCCATGTCTCAATCTCACGCCTCAGCATCATCGAGTTTCTTGAAGTTGCCAAGGGGTCAATCTATACATATATATATATGCATACATATCTGTATATATATATATATATCGATTTGGTGTATCTCACGCATCCTAGTCGTATCATGTTAAAGCATTCGCGTTTCAAGCTTTGGTTGTGCAGAACGCGTGGTTGCTGTGGGAGTGTGCAGCTACAGGCTCTCGGTTCCGACTGTCTAACCTCGGTCACGTTTGCCCGGGAATCTTACACCAGTCGTATTCATAAGGGCGCATGGCCAAAGCTTTAGCCCTGGCCAAGCCGAACACCATGCTCAGGCTTGTTGTTCGGGTCGCGTTTCGTTGCTTCGCGATTGGTCCATTCCATGCCGTTGCAGCGCATTCCATTCCATTCGAATACATTCCCCTCCCCTCCTCCCGTTTTTCCTCCTCGCTCCTCCGCTCCTCCTCGCTCGACCTCCCCCCGCGAGAAGCGAACAAGAGGGGGGGGGGGACTGCTTCCAGCTGTCCCTCTGCCCCACTGCCGCCGCCGCCTGCGGGGGCGGGGGGCCAGGAGTGCGACAGGATCGAGGAGCAGAAGGAGCGCCGGGTCGTGCGGGCCAGGAGCCCCCCCCCCCACCTTTCCTTGCGGAGGAGTAGGAGGAGAAAAAGGAGGAGGAATAGGAGGAAAAAGAGGAGGAGAAGGAGGAGGAGGAGGAACAGGAGGAGGAGGAGGAGGAGGAGGAAGAGGAGGAGGAGGAGGAGGAGGAGGATTGAGGAGGGGGAGGATGGAGGCTCGAGCTGCTTGAAGCGGTTCCGACAGGAGCACGGGGACAGGCCGCAGCGCAATGGACAACTGCATCGCTTCCTGCATGATCTCGGTGGGAGCAGTGGTGCGCCCTGCGTTGTCTCGTCCGCTTCCTGCTGGCATCTCATCGCGCCGCCGGCAGCCGCCCTTCTCCGTCCGTCGCAAGCGCCGTTCACAGTTCGAGTTAGCCAGGTCTGCGTCGCGGTGCAACTGCCTTGTGGGCTTCCCAGTCCCGGGGGAGGCGTTCGGAGTGATACAGAACTTTGGAGGAAGCAGAGCACACTCCCTCTTGTTCAGAGCAGCAAGTTTCCGCGGGCACGTTGCTGGTAAGCTGGGCACGCTGCGAGATGCACGTTGGGTCATCTCGCTCGTTGGGAGCTCGACCAGAAGTGAGCGGCCGACATTGCCGTGCGAAAAGTGTACGCTGGGGGCAAGCGGGGTGTGGATGGGGAGCATTTCAGCGCGAGGCGCTCCGCTGACAAAAGTGGCGACGCTACGGCGACAGCACAACTTTCTTTGCCACCGCAGCCGCACTTGTCACGAAGGCCGCAGCAACGAAGGTTACACAACATACGACGATAATGGGAAGGCGAGACTGTTTCCAAGGACGGCAAGGACGAGAATGGTTAGGATGAAGAGAAGGGCGGCGACGTCAACAAGGAGGAAGAGGATGGTTACGACAAGGATGAAAGGGGAGGCAGAATCGGAGGAAGAAGAGCACGAAGCGGATGAGCAGCAGCAGCGGGAGTAGGGGGAGGAGAGGGGGGAGGAGGGGGCCCACACGATTTCGGACTGAGTTCGATGATCCACCGCGATTCCCCGTCGCGGCGACAAAGGCACTGTGCCTCCCAGGTTTACGGTGCGCCGTCCACCTTAGATGAGCTCTGACGCTGTGCCAATGTTCTTGGAGATTCGCGGACAAGTTGGGCCAGAGGGCCAGGGCTTGAAAACAACGGGTGGATTATTTGCCCCTTTTGGGTGCTGACAGTTTCAACTCGGCCAGGGATGGGTGACTGTCGCTTACAATCAGACTGGAGCCCCCTGACTCCTAACCCTGAGTAGGACCCCCAACACTGGCACACGATTGCTGAGTTCGAATTCTCCAACTACCCGGACTCAAAAAAGATGATGGCCCTTTGTTCTGGTGGTGGGCTCTCAGACTCGACAGACAGTGCACATCCACTGACCCCTAACAAAAACTCCTAATGTGTGTGTGTGTGTGCATGTGTGCGCGTGTGCGTGTGTGTATGTATGTGTATGTGTGTGATTGTGTGTGTGATTGTGTGTGTATGTGTGCGTGTGTGTGTGTGTGTGTGTATGTGTGTGTGTGTGTGTCTGTGTGTGTGTGTGTGTCTGTGTGTGGGGGTGTGGGGGGGGCGTCTTTGGGGGAGATCCTCCCCCCCTCCTCCTCCTCCTCCTCCTCCTTCTCCTCCTTTTCCTCCTCCTCCTCTTCCTCCTCTGCCTCCTCCTCCTCCTCCTCCTCCTCCTCCCTCCTCCTCCTCCCTCCTCCCTCCTCCTCCTCCTCCTCCTTCCTCTCTCCCTCCTCCTCCTCCTCCTCCTCCTCCTCCTCCTCCTCCTCCTCCTCCTCCTCCTCCTCCTCCTTCTCTTCCTCCTCCTCTTCCTCCTCCTCCGGCGGCCGCGTGTCTGCCGCGCGCCGGAATCACCATGATCGGGAGCCGGCGAAAACCCCCAACCCCAGGACAAGCACGCCGTTTAGTGGCGAGCAAGCCCCAGAGCCGAGGGGGTGCGCCGACCGGGGCCTCTACCTCGCATGCCCGGGAGCGCGGCGGCGACGTACAGCAGGCCGCGTGGCCAGCGGCCTGCGGTCCCACCGCCAGGCGCCACACTTCCTTTTTCGGAAAGTGCAGCATCAGCGCGGTCCCACCGCCAGGCGCCGCCCGGCCCAGCAGCGCCGCAGTCGCCCCGGCCGCCTTCGCGCCGCCCCCGCGTGCCAGCTTTTGCCCCGCCACCGGCTGCGCCGGGCGCCTGCCGCGCCGCCGACGGCGGCCGCCGCGCCTGCCCCGCGCCCGCCTGCCGCCCCCGGCGGCCTGGGCGGCTCGGGCCGCCGCCTGGCGCCCTCGCCCAGCTCGCCCTCCTGCTCCGAGAGCCGCCCGGCGCGCCGCCGGCCGCGGCTCGGCGCCCCGCGCCAGCCCAGCGGCCCAGGGCCCAGCAGCGCAGCGCCGCCTCAGCCCCGCGCAGCAGCCGCCTGGCGCTGGCTGTCCCGCGCCCAGCAGCATGCCTAGGCCGCGGCCCCGGAGCAGCCTCAGCGCAGCCCAGCTGCGCGCCACAGCTGGTGGGCCAACTCCCGCTGCAGCGCGCAGCTGAGCACCCAGTAGGCTCGCGCAAACTCTTCCTGCTGCGAGTCCTCCGGGAGCAGCTCTCTATAGACAGCGCCAGCAGCCAGGCCCGCGCCTCCCCGCCGAGCTGGCCGCCCGTCTCCACGGCGAACGCCGTCAGGCGCTCACTTGTGTATAGCGGGTGTGTTTGGCGCGCTCGGCCCAGCGGGCCGCTTCGCCCGCGCGCCTTGCCGCCGCGCGCACGGCGGGGTCGTCGCCGGCCGCCAGGTGGCGGTCCAGCCAGCGCCGGCCGTCGAGGTCGTCATACTCGACGTCCAAGATAGCCCGCACCGGGACTGGCGCCTGCCCCCCCCGCGGCGCGCGGGCCCTGTCCTACGTGGGTACCCGCTGCTCGTACAGCGGCGAGCAGTGGCACCACCTGCTGGCGAGGCTGCCCGCGGCGCGCGCCACGCCAGCGCGCCGCTCGATCGACGACGCCCCCGCCTGGCTGACGAACGGCCGCGTGGAACGGCGGCGCTTGGCACGGCGCTCCGCCAGCCGTCTGGTTCTGGCAGGTCGCCGCCGCGCGCGCTAGCTCGTGCGTGGAGCACTCCGGCCGCGGGAGCTGGGCGCGGCGGCGAGCGGCCGTCTGAAATTGCTGGTCCCCCAGCGTGCAGGCCAGCTCCGCGGGGTACTGGAGGTAGGCGCCGGCCCCGGGCCCCCCCGCGAACAGCAGCGAGTCCTGGCTGCAGTGATGCATCGCTGCTTCGCAGCAGCGTGGGTTCACCATAGCAAACACGGCATTCTGCTCCTGTCGGGTGCCCGAGCAAGGCCTCCAGGGGCGCCGCTGGCTCAGGGGCCGCGCCCTAGCGCGCCAGCTCAGCCCGGGTCGCCTCGAGCGCGGCTGCGGCCTGCGGCAGCGCCGCCAGCGTGTCTGCAAGAGTGGAGACTCCTGAGACACCGAGGTCGCCCCGCACCTCCTCCGCCGCCTGCGCCCGCGCCGCCCAGCAGGCGGGCGCCCGTCTCGTGGCCGCCCGCTGCGCGCTAGCTCCTCCGAGTTTCGCCGGCAGGCCCAGCAGCTCGCGCGCCTCTGGCCCGAGCTGTCGCCCCAGCAGCTACTCGATCCCAGCAGCCTCGCAGCGCGGCGTCGAGGCCAGCTGCAAGTTGCGCTGGCTGGCGTTGCCGGCGCAGGCGCTGAGCAGCGCGCCCGCCGCTTGCCGCTTGAGCCCCCCCTTGCAGCAGCCGCTCCAGGTTGGCCCAGAGCCTCTCGAGGCGCGCCGTGGCCCCGTCCAGCCCGCGGCCCTGCCCGCCGAGATGGGGCGCCGCCCCGTCGGCGTTTCCGGGGGCCCGGAGCTGCGCGCCGAGGACCGGCAGAACGGGCACGCACTTGCTCGCGAGCTCGGCCTCGACAGCCTGGACGCCCGCAGGGGGCCGGACCAGCGTTTTGTCGCCGTTAAGCTCCAGCCCAGTGGCGCGGGCCGCCAAGTAGGAGTCGTCGAGGTAGGAGCACAGGCGGGCGGCTGGCTGTAGCCTGCGCAAAAGCAGCTCGAGGGCGCGCCGCTGCCCCACGGCGAAGGCCGCTAGGGACAGGGGGCCCCCCTGAAGAACCCGCGCTGGCTCCAGACCGTTTCGAAGCGCCCGTAGGCTGTGCGCCAGTGCTCTGTGGGGCCTGGGCGCTAAGCCCTCGGGGCCGCCGCCACCTCGGGGGCGGCTTCGTCCAAGGCCTCGAAGGCAGGGCCGCGGCCCATTCGTTGGAACGCCGCATCTGACGCCCACCTCGATCGATCGGCCAGTCCTCCGCGAGAGCCTGCAAGCTCTGAGCCAGCGGGTTCGCGCCGCCCTTGCGCCCGACGCCGCCCCGGCGATTCCCGGCAGCTTCAGCGAGGCGGGCATTCCGAGCTCGCGCCAGCGCGCGCAGCCCCAGGCGGCGGAGCGCGGCGCCCACCAGCATGGGTCTCACCTCGCCGGCGCCCTTCGCGAGCGCCACGAGTCCCCCCGCGCGCGGCGCCTCGAGGGCCCCCCGCGGCAGCTCCCCGAAGGCGACCCTCGCGGCAACCTTGGCGAGCAACCGCGCCGTCTCGCCGTCGCTCGCCCCCAGATGCCCCGGCCGCGCCCCCAGCAAGCCCGGCGCCGCCAGCCGGGGAGGGCGCCGCAGTAGTTTGCGCGCCCTCTCCTCCTCCACCTCTTCTCTGATCAGAGAGGAGGTGGGGGAGGGGCTGGGCGGCGCGGAGGGCGGGGCAGGGCGGGGCGCCGCGCCGGCGCCGTCTCCGAGCTCGTCGGCGCGGCGCCAGTTCGGCCTGCGCTGCTGCCGCCGGCGCGCGGGGTCCCTCCCTGGCCGCGGCCAAAGCGTGCACCCGGTGCGCTTTCTGTTTGATTGTTGTCTTAAATCCTCGGCGGTGCTCGGGGGGGTGGACCGTTCGCGGCCGACCCGCGGCTGCGCCCGCTGCCCGCTCCACCACGGCGCCAGCTGCTCTTCCAGTAGCTCTGCGCGCGTCGGTCCCGCCCCCCGGGGCCGAGCGAACAGCGCCAAGTCGAACAGC